AACTTCAAAGCTCTCAAATAAAGCAATTTCTTAAAAAGCCCACATTGAAGGCTTGCAGAAAGGAAGGCTGCCACCAGTACCATCAAGAGGGAGAGGAACAAGGAGATTAAAAAGTTGTAATTTCTCTCCCTCCTGGATTCCGCCTTGAGTTTTCTAGCAGTGAAAGCTTTTTGGCATGTGTTGTCTGCACTGGAGCTCCCCAAAGGTGTGAGGGAGTAAATTGCAGTGTGCTGACTGGTTCTGAATAGCAAAAGCACAAATATAATTTCTAGGTTTGCAAGGCCTGGGAGACAACTCCTTTGGAGGCCATGGGGAAGATAGGTATATCGTATTTCCTGAGCAATTCTGGAGCATAATCTTAACTCTGTAGTCAGGATGAGGTAGTGAAGGACCTCATCACTCACCCAAACTTGGCATCTCTGTTCAGATTTTTCAACCTACCTGTCAATGTTTTTCATATACAAATAGAAGATCACCATGCTTCAGATGGAATGTGTTCTGGACTGCTATTGTTCATTTCATAGTCTCTTAAAATGGGATGCTTGGGAGGCCTGCCCTGGTCATGACAGTGACAACTGTTAGACATTTCTTGGCAGTATATGTGGTTATCATGGTAGTAAATTGCTTTCACTCTTGGTAAGGGAGTTGTGGTTTTCATCTATTTTCAGGCATCACAGCTCTTGCTGTGTTTCACCAGATGTTTTGAACATCAATTCCTATCTGCTCCACTCAGCATGGCAGTTATAGCCCAAAAGATCTGGAGAACATTGGACAAGGGTGCTGAACTCTTTTAAGATGTAGCTATAGCTATACCATTTAGTCTCAGTGTGATCCTAGGTCTGTATACCCAGAGGTCCCACTGATTACTGGTCCCACTGAGACATACTTCTGAGTAACTTGCTTAAAATTGAAGGCCTCTTCAGGTGCAGTCAAACTAGTGCTTTATAGTCCTGTCATTCCAGAAATGGAAGCTTTGGTGAAGTTATTGAGGAGTAAAAGCTCTGTAAATACCATAGTCTGCCTGTCATGATTGTGCTATTTAATAAGATATCCATGAGCTCATTTGAGCTTCTTTATCTGTTGCTTCCCCCCTCCTCTGCTGGACTGAATGCATTAGTGGTCTATATAGAATGCTCCGTCTGCAAAAGCTGGGAGGCTTTTTGAAATGCAGGAAGGACTTTCTTGCTTGAACTTAGGACCAGTTTCCACATTATTTTTTTTAAATGTGTATCAAATATACCGTATTTTTTGCTCTATAAGATGCACTTTTTCCCCCCTCAAAAGTAAGGGAAAATGTCTGTGCGTCTTATAGAGCGAATGTGTGTGTGCCCGACGCCCGGGACGCTGCCTGCCCGCCTGGCACCACGTGGCACCACCTGGCCGGCACGCGCTCAGCGGTGAGAGCTGTGCTGCTCAGGAGGAGTGGTGCGGAGGAGGAGGAGCCGCGGGCTTAACCCGCCAGCCGCACGAAGAGACGGACTGCTCATCCCCACCACCCGGGAAGACCTGCGGAGGAGGAGGAGGAGCCGCGGGCTTTAACCCGCTAGCTGCACGGAGAGACGGACTGCTCACCCCCACCACCCGGGAAGACCTGCCGCCACCGCTGCGCCGCCCGGAAGACCACCGCCGGCACGTTGTCGGCCCGGCTGCACCACACCAGGCCGGCATGCGCTCAGCGCGCCCTGCTCGGTCCCCCTCCTCCGGCGCAGGTGAGAGCTGTTAATCACAGGTCGATGTGTGTTTTCAAATGGCAACCCGTCTTTTAATGAAGCCCATGGGGAAGTGATGGGGAATGTGCCTGTGATTATCAGGAAGCTTTCCATGGATCCCTCCTCTAAAAACTAGGTGCGTCTTATGGTCAGGTGCGTCTTATAGAGCGAAAAATACGGT